ACGTATATTCGTCGATGGTGCAGTTCTTTCGGCCGTAGGGTTCGCAGGCTGTTTCGTCGTCACCGTCCGCGCAGTCCCGCTGTCCGTCGCACCGCCACCGGTCAGGGATGCATTTGCCGTCGGTACACCTTAAAATACCACGGCAAAATTGAAAGCCAGGAAACGTAAGAGCTTTGGTGGCTCTGGATTATATTACGGTATATCCTACGAAGGATCACTTCATATCGAATGACTCGCACCCTTTAACTATGGTAAATACAACAGAACATATTATAACTTGTTACTTAACACGAATGCTTGGAATTACATAAAAAATAAAGATGAAGTATCCGTGGCGTAATATTATGATTTGTATAATCTTACTTGAACTCTCCAGTGTTACAGGTGCCGGGTAAGGAGGGGCAAGCGTCTTCGTCAGTCCAGTCGCCGCAGTCGTTGTCGCCGTCACATTGGAACTCTTTTCGAACACAGTTATTATTGTTGCATTGGAACTCGTTTTCTCCGCACTGCAGGAATTCTAGGTCTGTGGTAAATTTTGTTAGCGTTAGCGTTATGCTTCTCTTACATATCAATTTTGAATCATTTAACAATCATTTGGATCAAGCAATGGATAAATCATGACAAAACTCGAATGGTGTATCAGAATTTTGTTTACCAGTTCTAATTTTTAACCATTAGATTATAGGTCTTATAAAGCAGAAGCTTAATTTTTACTAGAATACCGTTATCTTAATAAATATTTTTAACCAAACGCATGAGGATAATAAAAGCACAAAAGAGAAACTATATAAGATTTTTTCGATATTGCAATGTTCCAATTTATGGATCTAAGGTAAAAAAAACAATAAAAGACCATTACGGCAATCAGCTTCATCGGAGTTGTCAGGGCAATCGGGTTCTTTGTCGCAGTGCCAGTGTTTCGCGAGGCACTCCCCCGTGCCACACCGGAATTGCTTCTCGCCACATCTGTACAACATTGATAGTGTCAACAAATAACCATTAACTAGCTACCAACTTCACGTTAGCTTACAACAATACTGAAAACCGCATCTAAAATCGATCAAGCCGTTTCCAAGATTAGAACATACAAAATCACAGACAATCCGACAAACAACGAAATATATCGAAATTTGCTTTTGAATTCTAAACCATAATTATCTTCTATAAGACTTTAGCGCTCAGTACCGATGTGTATTAGATTAGTGGGTCACGAGTGTTGTGTCGGGTTTGAGTTGGCACTTCCTGTGAGATCACGAGTTGATGTAGCATTACCATTAGAATAGACGAAGTATAACTACAGGAAATCACGTGTCAGGTACCGATATACACTTCAATAGACCGAGTTGCTTTGGTATTTAAATTTAGAAATACCAACATAAAAAAACGATGCGGTAAAAATGACAATCAGCCACGAAATCGTTCTTAATAAGTGCTTAAGTTAACGAATATAATTAGTTAATATATGCTTCTGCATCATCTATAAGTAGAAACTTATAGGTCGTTATAATATCGTAACAAAATGGATCTGAAAACTTGATTCGAAGCAAGTAAAAAAACATAACATCTAAAAATAACTCCTTTCATAAGTTAATCTCCGAGAATAAAATTACAATACATTATTTCTATCTGGAGCATATTTAATGTGTAGAATCCAGACTCGAGTATTTTAGAAACATGAAACAATTTAATGTTAATATTGAAATAACATAGCAATGTAAATATATTATTACAAAGTTATTTCAGAATACATTTTGTGCTCGATATTTTTATTGTAAATGTTTGCGTCACAAGATAAATTTACGATTTTAGACCTAAAGTGTCGACGATTTTTGGGAGCTTCGTCATCTTCGTTAGAAACTGAACGCTGGCGGTTAGGTCTTTGGACAGGTCGTAAGCACGTTTCATTTGATTTATATTCTTAGGTTATAAAAGATTCAAATTCATTAATTCAAATCTAATATGCTTTAATGAGGTCATCCAAATTAACCGTAACTAAGGAAGATTTGTAAATTGTTTCTAAATGTATCAAAACCAATTAGTTACTAAATAATAATAGCAACTAAATATAATATGATACTCTACAGTTGTTAATATGGTCGGT